CAAAGTCTCCCAAAGGGTAAGGTACTTTCCGACCTATCCAATATTATGAGTTGCTCTTGGGCCAATTTGACGTGGATCGAGGGAGCTAACATCGCCAGCGGTTGCGAGTTATTTAATGCGAAGAAACGCAACTTATAGGTGGCGACCAGCAGAGAATGACGGCCGTTTGCTCAGCCCCCTGGAGGAGCAGCCAACGTAACCACCGGTACAGACTCTAACTACCATCCACTTTGATCCCTTCTGCTTCTCTTAGAGAGCAAAAATCTTGTAAGCTAATGTATACTCGAGGATGGGGTCCACTTCGTCTTTTAATCGTAGTTCCGTTGTTCTACAAGACGGGAGTCAACAAGCTATGCTAAAGGTGGGCACTTGTCCGAGTCGTTGAATGTGATTACCTTGTAGATTGGAGCTGTCGCTCGTTTAGTCAAGGGAAAACTGTTCCGAAATTTTGATCAAGGTGTCGCAGGACTTCTTTTCCAACCTTATATTCATACTCCTCACTGCCCCAGTTCTCGAGGTGCCGGGTCAAACTTTTATTTGAGAAAATGGTTTTCAGAGGTAGTTTGAACACTTGAACACCAATCCGTTTAGCATATTATTTTCGTGCTCAGGAGCGAAACATACTAACGAGAACAAATTTAAAAACTAATTTTTTCGCTTCGGGCAGAAAAGGCGCAGAAAAATGGCATGATTTTTGAATGGGGTAGTAAAGGGTGAGTGAGCAAATGGAGCTTCATTTCTCCTGTTGGGACTCCGGGAAAAGGGTGAATAGTGCCGAGGATTTGGTGACCTCCCCTATATCTTGCTTTTATTTGGGCTAGCTTGCATTCTTACGCTATTGAAAGCGTTCCTGAACCAAGTTTTGGAAAGTGCTCATGGGACTGCATGATTAGCACACGGACCGTACCGGTAAAAAATTCCAACTTGCGGGCCAACTCAGGATTCATCTAGGTAGTGTGTGTGGGCAGGTCACAGATTTCAGTTTCGGGAGAATAAAACACCTTTCAATGACTGGGTATCTTAAGTAGGGAGAGTACACCTGTAGCAGAAAGGAATGGATCACGGTACACTATCCTTAGGTATTAGGTTGGCGGGAAAGTTCTGTCACACTTTTTCGAACTCAAAATACTTGCCCATTACCTGAAGAGGGGTAACCGGTAATGTGAGCACTTATACATCAAGGAGTGTCTTTCTATTAGTACCACTCGCTTGACTCCTGCTTCTTCTTCTGCAATATGGACAAGGATTTTATCCGCTACCATCGGCACCGACCCCTCCGAGCGCTCCCTCAAACTCCTTCTTCCACCACCATGATAGCTGCAGATGCCGAAATAGTGAAGCTGAATAAGGACGATGCCCTCATTTATCGGACAACCTTCCACGACGCTAATGCTTCAAAGCGGGAGCCTACAGTTTGATGACGAAGTGAGGTTTGGGTTACCTGTGAACTCAGACTGAGGGAGCTGCGGGTCGTGAAAGTGCTGGATGAAGAAGCTGCTTCCTCGGTCAATGCGTACGCAAAGCAGCTACGAGATCTAAAGCGTACCGTCGATCAGAGGGAAAAATTTGTCCGCACAGCCCGCCCTCATCATGATAGTGCAGCGCACTCCGTCCAAAAAAGTTCGAGCCGTACCTCATGCAATAGAGCTGGATGGCTCTCCCCTTGCACTGGTGTAGCACAGACATTGCTCCTTCTAACTGCAAGTTGCCTCCCGTACTCAATCGTTATGTGGACGAGAAAACCTCCATAACCCGAGTTCAAGTCAAGATTGAGATGATGTCCAACTTTGCGTCGCGCCTCCCTGCATTGTGAAGCGATGGCATCCATGAGGTGCTCAAAAACTGGCAAACTGGCAAGAACCCCGCAGTAACATTGCTGTACAATTCTGATGTTACACTAAAAAGAAAGCCTAAGTCGAAAAATGTGACAGAACTTTCCCACCGACATAATAGTTCCACACACTTCTTATCCCGAAGATGGGGAAGATGCAAATGCGAACTTCATTCAAAGGTGGCAGCGGCTATGATTCTGGTAGACATTTGAGTTTCAGAACAACTGCGACCATATTTTTTTGTTCAGGACAAGATGACGGTTGTTTCGAACGGAACTATCACATAAGAAACATTATAATCAGGTTTAAATGAAGTGGTGAAATGTACGCAGCGAAGCTCACTCCATCACCGGGCTCATGAGTGAAGGAAGGGGTCGCATTAGACTGCTGGGTGACGGTCGCAGTGTGAGGTAGCAAACTGTGCAGAAGTGCCATCAGGAGGAGTGAAATTAGCAGTAAGGGATTGCAAATCGTAACTACGCCCCGTACTGTCTCGAGATAAGTACTGCGCCCAAGTCGTGACATCGCCGTACGAGCAGATCTCGGAGAGAGAATAGAGTCGACGCGCAGCTCCTGTGCCATGTTGAGTCGGTTGGGTCCCGATGCGCACGTCACCCCGCTTGCAACGCGTATTTCGCCACACCCCGCAATTCAATGTCTGTCGTATGCTGGCGATAGTCCAGGTCACGGTGTTTGGGGAAAGGGGAAGAAGGAGGGGAATGGGAGGCATTTTTTCTTCTCCCCTGTCGACTTTGAAATTCTGTAGAGTTATTAGGTAGCACTAAGCAAGGCATATGCACCCCATTTTGTGGAATCTTGAAATCCTACAGAATCAACGACAACCATACAGGAACCACAGATTTCATTAGAGTGGGCACTGAAGACACCAGCAGACCAAGCAGTGTTCCCCCCCCCCGCTCGCACCATCCAACTGACGCGATCTATATTGGACTACAGCGCGTAGTTCAGCACAGGTACTCGGTCTGAAACCTCATGCGTGGAGGATGCCACGTTCATAATGTCATGAGTGGGGTGCGGTAACATGGCATGGTTTAGAGAGCTCCTCCGCATAAATTACAGGGTCGGTCTGCACAGAGGTTTCCTTCTTTCTAGACTTGAGAGTCGTCCTCCCCGAGTGCCGTTAAACTTCAAAAACTCGAATGAGTTGTCTAGAAAGCGGGCTTGATGAATTGCTTCCCCTTTCGAACTGTAATACGAGTATATGGCCTCCCATCGATTTACCATTGATCGATCAGGGCTCTAATTTATATTTCCCCATTGTTTCTTCCTAAACGGCTGTAAGTGTCCCTACCTTCCACAATCATCTTTCCCACACTCACTTCTCTTTACCCAACCCCAACAATGCAGATCAACCGCTTTCATGAGAGTGAGAGCGAAATAATGTTACTCTAGAATGACGTGCTAGCTATCAGAACCCCTTATCGCTATCCACAGCTCTGTGATATTCATCATTTTTTCTAGTACACCAAGCTTTAGCAGTCGATATCTATCAGGGCATTCTCATTCCCAGTTACCAGACGTTCTCCGGCGACGAGCATGAAGTATGCACGGGAACTTTGCCACCTTGCGCTTCAACCGAACAAGGAACACTTTTCGGGCCACGACGGCGGTACTGACTCTATCGAGAATCTCGCAGGGTATCCCGGGCCCTGCTGCCTCGGCTCTAGCATGTTATCCTGGACCCTTGCCAGAACTGGGCTTCAGATAGAAGCCCTTCTCTTACTTCTTACTTACATCTAAACCACGTGAACCAAGTGTTTTCTATCCAGAAGTGTTACCCTCCGGATGCGTAGAACTGACCCTCGAAGTGCAGAAGTCTCTACTATTTAGTGTCCGGCAGAACAAACCACAGATTCCACACTAAGCCATGAATGTAATGGCTGTTTTGTCTACTCTTTCGGCTCTTTGTTTTGCTTGGTGATTGACTAGTAATCTACCAGAATTGACACTTTTCAGAGCTTCCTTTGCAAGAACAAGAGGATGAGTCGCATGTTTATTTAGTGGTTAGTATTTGTACAGAACGACTCATTTTGCGCCCTTTCTTCCCTTTGAACGGCGTGATCTTCGTGATCGTGCAGCTCCTCTGAAACATTTCAGATGCAGTCGAGTGGAAACCCCGAGTGCAGTCGTCAGACTTACCCAGCTTTGCGTGACCTGCGACTTCGCTTTCTACTGGATGCACCCCTTCGTGATCGCCGGCTTCTTCTCCTACCACCTCGACGGGATCGGCTGCGGCTTCTTCCGGATTCCGAGTCTGATCCTCTTCTCCTCGATCTTCTTCTACGTCTCCTGGAACCACCCGATGACCTCGAGCGGCGAGATCGGCTTCTTGAACGTCTCGATCCGGAACGTGCTTTCCTGCTGTGGCCGCCAGAGCTTGACCTGAAAACGAAAAGTTTCACCATTGATGTTCAATTGTACGTACTTCTGATCCAAAGTCACCAAAGTGCTGCTCACTTTCTGCGACGGCGACCACCTGAAAGATTTGCTTTACCACCTGCAAGTTTTGAAATTCAAGAACTCTTACAACACATATGCCCTGCAACAGCACCTCGTCGAGCCTTGCCTCCCTGAGCTCTCTCAGCAGGAGCTTCTTGTTTTGGTTCGGGTTCTTGAGGTTCTTCAGCAGCTCCTTTGCTCGGCATGTTAGTAAGCAAATGCCTGACCACCCCTCTGCAATGCTTAAATATCCATCGCTATCATCCGCTACTTATCAATGATCTCTGGTCTTATACATCTCACGCAATATCCGGAGGGGCTTTCTGGTGAAATCCGGTCGATGTTGTGAACGCTTCGTCAGCTTACAGAGGTGTCTTACAGCAATGAGTGCCAAATCCCTCACAAACTTAGAAAGAAGCCTGTTGAATGCTCACACATTCAGGTAGCCAGCACCAGCTGCACAGAAAAGGATTTGCTTTTACTACTATTGTATAATTATGCGAACCAAAGGGAGGGAAGAGCCATTTCTGTAGGATTTCTACCCGGCTGCGAATAACTGCCGTTAAAGATGCTGTAAATGACCCGGACGAAACTAGAAACATGACCTGAGCAGTCAGATCAGGTGAGTCTTGGCAGCTTAATCATGTCAGTTTCCGGACTTCCGCCGTGTAATCTGGTTGTTAATCAGGCCTTGTACGACCTAAGCATTCCACAGGAGTTGCTCCCCTGCGGTACAACAAAAATCGACAGCCCTGTGCACAGTCCTCCTCCAGATCCATCTTCTCTCCTGTTCGGGGCCAGCGTGAATCTTTTGGCAAATATGTGGCCCTGCCCAGATCGAGGTGTATCTCCTACTCATCATATTGGACCTCGCATTACCTTACAAGGAAGAAATCAGGTCAGGAT